AAGTCCTATTCACTTCAGTGGAACTTGCTGAGAAGAACTCCCCAAGGACTGGTTTTGTATGAGTACCTCAAATAGATTGAATAGTTTGGAGATGAATTGTAGTCAGGCATCTGCTTCTACTTAGCAGTTATCATGCTGCAACTATTGGAAGTATAGCTACACTATCTTCTTTTCTGGTGTGGATGTATTAGCTTCTTTGGCTTTTTCTTTGAAGGGGGGGAGGAGCAAAACCAGAAAAGGAACTTGGTTATGGAGGCCAAAAAGTCTGACTTTTCCAATGAAGTGGATGTACTTTTTGAGTAGGGAGAAGAGAGATTTAAATTTAACAATCTGTTGTACAGAAATAAGGTATGCTACAAAAGGCCTTTCCAACTTTTTATGTTGCTTTCAAATGTTCACTTCCTCTGTGATTCTTCTAAAAGCCAAATTGCTTCCCTCCAGCTGATTTATGGAGTTCTGGGCATTGGATGTGAAGAAAGCAGCTAGTGGTGGGCTGGCAAAGTCAATGTGGCTGCATTTGTAATGCAAGATGCTACCTATTCCTAATGTACCTTAAGTGTTGCCTTGAGATACTTCTCATGCACAGGGGGAACATATTCATTGACTGAAATGATTTCTTTGAGACTTAGCACCTGGAGGAAGAGTTATTCTGAAGCACAATGGGGAAACTCCAGCACCTGTTCAGTTTTCAAAACAAATGAACATATTCTAGTGTATCTGGCTCTCTGCACAGAGATGCTCCCCCCACCCCGCAGATGAATCTGTTATACGTTAACCACATCTATAGCCTGGCAAGTTGGCCCTGATGAACGCCATCAAAAGGCAAATGCACAGCGCACTAATGAGCTGCTGAGCAGTTGTCAGAAGCATCACTCCTAATGGAAAGCAATTGCTTTATAAACAGATGGGCTAGGAAGTCAGTGAATGACTAATCTGAAATTCTTTAAATTGGTTTGATTCATGAGTGGTGAATCCACTCTTAACTAGAACAGGCGTCTCGCTATATTTTAAGGGATTGGCTTAGGGTGTTCCCCCACTTTGTTGTGCTTGCTTTTATGTTTTGTACAGAAAATTGAATGAATATGTGAAAGCGTGAAAGTGACATATTACAGGCTGTACTGTTCTGTACTGAGGAAGTCCTGTGTTCCAAACAAATAATGGGAATCAGCTTGTGTTCAAGGATAGACATCTTCCATGTGTATTTTTTTACTGTGCACACCCCTCCCCCTGCATATGCACATAAAGGAGACAAACTCTAACTTTTTCACCCACTTCAAACTACTTTATCCAAGTGCCTGCATATGTGTGACTGGCAACAAGTAAAAGAACCTTATAGTATTCGATATCCTTGTAGTTAAAAAAATCTAGATAAATGATGGAACTCTACAATGCCTCTGTGCTTGTCATGCTGTCCTGGTTCCCATGAGCATGATGGTGGCTTGTTTAAGCGAAGGGGCATGCAGAATATCTGCATGCTTAATCACCCATCCTGACATCATCTGAACTGGGTAGCATGGCTTTTTCAAAGGTGAAACAACACACCAAAAGCCCAACAATATAGCAGTTGGAGAGTTGTTTTCATCCTCCCAGCAACCCATGCAAGCTTTGTCTGGACCTATGCTTAGGGTAATTGTACCTTACCACAGCTTTGAACACTCATTCCTAGCTTTAAACCTGTAAAAATGGCACTCTGGATTACTTAAAGCAACCCAGAGTTTTTACCAAACAATAACCTATGGGTTAAAACTGAGTTGATTTAACTCTAAGCCTTACAAGGTTGGTTTGGGTACAGGCAAGCAGGTCGGAACTAGCACAGTTGCTCAGTTGTGCTTACATTGAGTTGTTTGTTGGCCATCATCTCTTCAATTATGCAAACCCAGTCTCCACAAATGAGAAGAAATGACTATCTGGAAGCGATCATAGCAGTTTAAAACTCTGAAATGCTTTAATTAAGGATTTAATGCTTCAGGGTCACTTAACCTGTCAGAACCGTAGCATCTACTTTTGTATATTTGTTTTATTTTAATAGGTACTATATATTGCATTTTGTGTTTCCTGTAAATCATTTCAGAATTCCCTTAGATAGTGCGAAGCAACAGATAACATAACTTGCCCTAAAATATCCAAAAACCATTATGGAGCCAGGAGATGGCTTAGACAGTGTTATTATTAACAGTATTTATAGGTCAGTCTGTAGCAGGCTGACTCACAAGGGTACATTTGTGAGCTGGCAAATTTGCATCACTCAGAAGAACCTCAACTTTCCTTGTTTTTTTTCCTAATTCTTACTTCCTCATTCTTGATTATGACCCAAAAGGGCTTCAAGTAACAGGCTATAGTTGCTGGTCAGTGTCCTCTCTGCATTTAGTGCAGTGGTTCGGTCGCATCTTTGACAGGGTGGACCTCACTGTGCTGATTTGTGCTCCTGTAACGTGTGGGATTGCTTAGTGCATTGCACATGGTGGGCCCTGCCTGGGGAACTTTGACTGATAGACAGTGTAGCTGCTGTATCAGGAGAGATGTGCACATTTGTCCTGTTTGCTTCTTTTTCAAGGCCCTTCATGACTTGTAGCTCTTGTTACCTTAAGGGTCACTTCTTGCTACATCTGCCCACCCAGCAGTTTGAGGGATGTTCAGCAAACTCTTCTTATGGCAGGGTGATGATTGCTAGAGGCATCGCCCTAATGGTCATGGTGCCAGAGCTCTGAAGCCCCCTACTGAAGAGGTTAGGATATTTGCCTCCCTGTTGCTGTTTTAGAAGTCCTGGTAGACTTTGCTGTTCAGCAAGTGATTTGCTGAGCTCAGTTTTTTATTTGTTAATAACCACAGAATTTTTTAATGGCATCATTATGTTGTCTTTTTCCAAACTGAACTATTTTTGGAAAAACAAGGATCCTTTTTAACTGTTTAAAAGCCTGTTCATACATTTTCCCTTTACTGTATTATTAGATCTGTCCTTGAAATTGCACAATCATTTCAATGCTTCCTTCTGAAGGTGAAATGCTATCTGGCTGGCTGGCTGGCTAGCTTTATACCTGGCAGGATATCTGGCTAATAGGATGAATGCTTCTGAAATAAGCAAGCTGTTTCAGCATTCTGTTTTTGCCGCTTCCTACCCTTGACCCGTGCAAGATTTTTTTCTTCTCCAGAGAATGCCTCCTGAGCAGTTTCCAGGAGAATCTCAGCATAATACCTTCCTCTGTTTTATTTTTTGTCACAATCCAGCAGTGCTAATTGAAGAGAGAATGTGGCTTCTGCGCTTCGCTGGCAGAACTCATGCCAGAAAAATCTAGTGCCTTAACTATTTCTCAGAACAACTCTTTTCTTAGTAGAGTTGTTTTTTAAGTTTTTATTTTTATATTTTCTCACCTACAATTAAACTGATGTGTTTAAAAAAAAAACCACCCTGCTTTGCAAGCAGTGTCCCCCTCCTTTTTTGAGCATGCTCATTTTTCCAGTGTTCAAAACAGTGCCCATCTGTGATTTTCAACTTCAGTTTTTATAGGTTACTTGCTGCCAGTTTGTATTCACATGCTCTGCTGCAGAATCATACAGCCATAGAGACAGAATTGGAGAAGCTGTTTTGGCTGATCCAGTGGAAGAAGCTTCATTTCTAACACATTCTTGAAGCAGGCCTGCTGCTTCTTTGACAGGCGTTTTTGTGCTCGGAAAGCAGGTACTTAACTTCCCTGCTGCTGTCCTAAAAAAGCAGCATCCTTGGGAGTGTGTGTTCCAGCCTCTTCTTCCTAGCAAAAGTGGCAATCCTATACCTACTGGCTTAAGTTCCACTGAACTCAATGTTATTTCTGAGTAGACATGCAAAGTATTATACTGTAAATTTTCTTGATAAGCTTTCCATGTTGATCTGTGGCCTGAACTTTTGTATAACAACTAGATGACAAGCATGTGTTAGGGTGCAGAGAGAGAAATGGGAAAAAAAAGCTTAAGCAAACCTAAACTGTTAAGGAAGCTATAACTTATTCCGAAAGCTCTAAATAAGCCAACCTATTTAGGAAGCGTGAATTTATGCACTGAGCTTGTGACTGTAGTTTAGAGGAAACTGAATGTTCTTTAGGATTAGCAGAACTTTCTAAAAAAAGTGCTAACATTAGCTGTGAGCGAAATGAATGCATTACTGCTGTTTTCTGGTTTGAGATTGTCATTGCACATGTGTGTGTTCTTCTGTCTGACTCTGATGATAAAGTAGAACCATTCTGTCGCAATAATAAGTCAGATTTCTATTTTATTCAAAGCTGGAACTGAGATAAAATGTATATTAATCATGTATTTGACAAGTAGCCTGCTTTGATTTATATCCATTTTTGAAGTTTGCTCATCAAGATGCACTCATCCTTCTCTCTGCTTGGAGGATCAGTGAGTTTGCCATCCATCTATGACAGGTTGTGCAATTAGGCAAGACGGACATTTGCCCCAAGCTCCTACCTTGTGGATCACAGTTCATGGCCAATATTTCCCTGTCCTCTTGTGAACACTTTAACTTTTTTCTGGCTATTTACAAAGCTCTGGAAGTGAGATTAGTTTTTTTTTCTGATTGCTGCCAACTATATTTCCATTTCTGTCTGACGACTGGTATAATGTCCGTTTCCTGTGCTCCTTCTCTGGAATTTTGGTGATCTTCTTCTTCCATTTTTGGGGGTGGGAGGTGGGGTTATGCTTCTGCTACACTGATACTTAGGTTTTAATAGTGATTAGAGCCTGAACTCACTTAGCCAATCTCCCTTTAGTCTTCCTTCTCCCCAAATAATGATCTACAGTATGTTACTGCCCTCCATGCCAGGGTTATGAAGAATCAGGAATGAATCACTTCAGCACTCAAAAGACCCAATGTGAATATCAAGTAGTTTATTACTTGTTTTTCAGTATTTATTATTTCACTCCAAAGCCCACAGCAGATTCCAGATTTTCCCTATTTCAGGTAGTAGCTCTCCAGTAAACTTGTCAGCAGTTCTCTAAAAGCTCATTATTCTTTTCTATCTCAGGTGACTCAAGGTGACATGAAGCAGTGCATTCAGCAAGAGTTTGACAAAGTGCGACGTCTGGTTTGTGAAGAAGAACGGAGAGCCCTCCACCTGGTGGATCTCCAAGAAGCATTGGCCACTGCTCACACAACAGAAGTTCTGGCTGAAATTGATGTTCGCATGGAAAAATTGATGAGTGACATGGCAGAGCTCACAAGGCAGCTGAACACCTTTAATGAGCTAGCTCTGCTCAAGCCTGAGGTAAATAGAGAGCATATGAAGCAGATAACAGCAGGGGGCTGTAAAGCTTTATGATGGATGCAGAAGTTTAGTCTCCTTTATTGCTTGTCAGCATTTAGAGGTGGTCACAAATTCATTGAACTTTCAAGGCGATATGCAGAGTTGTAAGCAATAGCCCATTATAAGTGTCTGGTGTTAGCTGATGCCCAGTTGACTTGGATGGTTTGAAAGGCTTCCATCCTTCCCAAAGTGGGATTATAGTGCTTTATTGCAACAAGATCTTGTATCTGACTAAGTGTATCAGGGCATATATAAAGAGCTACATTCTGTAAACCTCTGAGTTCAGTTTTAGAAGGAACAAAGCACGCACTTAAAAAAAAGTCCTCTTTGATGTGTGGGGCCAGCCCTAGTTTTAGGCAGAGTGAGGAGGTTGCTTTAGGTAGCAGAAGATGCATTGAGGCTGAAGCAACAGCAAATGTTGTAGCAGAACTAAGCCTGCTGCACATCTGGCCCTGCACACCCTGAAGCTAGACTGCTGCCCCCAGTTGCACCAGAGGACACTGTCCCATCACCAGTGCTAAAGTGTGGTATTCAGCTGTCTGTATATCGAGCACCATATCGTCCTTTGTCTCTTTTGGTCAAACACTTTTGATATAGCATTACCTCTTCTTTTCAAGAGACAGAGATGGTTCTCTCTGTTTCCCTAGAAGAGGTCTGTATCTTTTATTACCTCTTTCAGACTGTTAGGAATTTTCTTTGGCAGTTATTTTGGTCACTGCCACATACAAGTTGGATCAAGAATCTGCATTCTTCTTCCATTGTATAAAACAGTATCAGATAGTGAAATAGATATCAGCAGAATGCCTGTTAAATTTTGCCTTTTAATTTTGTAGTTGGTCAGACAAGTTAGCCACACAAAATGAATCCAAACTACTGCTCCTTGGTTTTGGTTTTATTTTTTTTACACAAAGAAGCTGGCAGCAAAACCAAGACACTTAGTAAGCACCTACTTAATTATAAGAAGACATGTGGCAATAAAAATAGCATTCAGGTCATTTTGAGGCCAAATGTAAGAAAGCCTTTGTTTTAGACTAGAGTCCATGTAATCCCTGTCCAGGTCACCTGCAGGACATAAAGTGAGAGTCCTCACTAAAGTGTTTTCTTCCTAGCAGCTAAGCATGTTGTTTGTGTCTTATCATGGCTTATAGTAGTTGATAGACCTGTCCTCATGTGTAATTAATTTTTAGAAAAACTGATCTTCAAGACAGCAAATTCCATACACAATTATGGACTCATGTGAAGCAGTACTTCTCTTTTATCTATTCTGACTCTACTGCCAATCAATTTAATTGGGTAACCTCAAGTTTTAGCATTATCAGCAATGAACTAAAATATTCTTTTTCCGATACAATTCATAATTTTATAAACTCCCTCCTCCCTCTTGTAATCTTTCTTCTGGGCCAGAATACATCAACATTTAGCCTTTCAGAATGCTAAAAGCCCCTTAATCATTAGGGTTGCCTTCTACCTGTTCCAGCTCTGTTTTATCCTTTTTGAGACTTGAGCAACCAGAATCGCATGCCAGATTCCAAATGTGGCTGCATCTTAAATTTTACAAAAGGCATAATTATATTGGCCATCTTATTTTTCAATTCCTGTTCTGACCTGGTAATATGAAACACAGAATATGCAGCTTTCACTGAATTACTGCAAGCTTTGAAGCTTTTGTAAAGGGTCTACAAAAAGTGTGCTTGTTTGAAATCAAATGAACAACAGCAACCAAGGGAAAACATTTTGGAGGAGAACATAGAAATGCAAGGTAAATTTTGGACTGGGAAAATGTTTGACCAGCACCGTTCTTTTAAGTAACTATGCCAGGGATTGGGAAATTTCCTTCTCCATCCCACCCCACCCTCAGTGCTACATATATGTTGGACTGTCTAGGCAACTTCCTACTTCTGTAATCATTGTAATCATGATGCCATGAAGTTTAACAAAGTTTGCATCTCACACAAGTCGCAGGGCACCACTAAGATTTAGCTCCTGATTTTCTTTCTTCTAGTTACCTCCATGACTAATTATTCTGAAGTGCTAACGTTTATTCTATCTTGGAATTTGTGTTCTAGATGGACATTTACCCAGTCTGTCTATGCAAGCACAGTTAAAGTTGCATATTATTAAATCCTTTTGACTGCCTCACTGATTTTTATTTTGCCATCTGAAGATAATAATCAGAGTTTTAGTTAGAAGAGAAGAAAATTGAAATCTGTTCTCAGTATGCTACTTCATTGTTTGGCTTGGTATTCCACTTTTATTCCGTGGAAGAGTTTGTTGCTATTAAGCTTTGTAGTTAACTGACATTTTTTTTTCTTTTACATATAGAAAAAACATTTCCTATATAGAAAAACATTTTGCATCTTGCAATAGCCATATCCTATTGAGCTTCAACTGTTTAAACATATTTTAATATGCCCACTGGGTCCATACTCCATTTTAGTACAAAACAATTTGATGATTCCATCCTGACTTGGCAGCTTCTTGTATTTGAATACAAACATTTATAAACTTAATCTCTCTCCAAATTTGTGTGTGTGCTTTCTCCCTCCCTGTCCCCCATAAGCTTTCACATAAATGGCAAAATATTAATTGCTATGACTGATGGATTAGGGTAACTATTAGTGGGGAAACATCGGGATGGCAGTCAGTGACGAGTGGGGCCCCCGAGGGCTCTCTCCTGGGACCAATCCTGTTCAGTCTTTTCATCAGTGACATGGAAGAAGAGGTGACCTGTCCACTGATCAGATTCGCAGATTTTACTAAAATGGATTCAGTGGCCACAACTGAGGAGCAGGTACTCTGGATCCAAAAGGATCTGGACAGACTATGGAAGTGTGCCAGAGACAACAGAATGGTGTTCAATGCACATAAGTGCAAAGTCTTGCACTTGAGACATAGGAATGAGTGTCATAAGTACCGGTTAGGTGACAAGTGTGAACTTGTGAAAAGGATCTCTGGGTACTGGTCGACTGAAGGATAAACATGAGTCAGCAGTGTGACACAGCGGTCAAGAGGGCAAATGCCACCCTTGGTTGCATAGCCAGATGCGTGGCTTCTAGATCAAGAGAGGTATTACTGCTACTCTATATGACTCTGGTGCTCCCACAGCTGGAGTACTGTGTTAATTTCTGGGCCCCTCATTACAAGAGGGATATAGGAAGGTTGGAATCAGTGCAGTGAAGGGCCACAAGGATGGTAGCTGGTTTGCAGATTAAGCCATATGAGGAGTGACTGAAGGAACTGGGTCTTTTCAGCCTTGAGGAGACTCAGAGGGGGGCCTGTTAGCAACATATAGGTATGTGAAGAGGTGTCACGTGGAGGAGGGCTGTGACCTTTTTTCCCTACAGAGAAGGGTAGGATGTGTTCCAATCGGGCAAAGCTCAGGGAACTAAGATTCAAGGTGGATGCCAGGAAGTACTTCCTGACAGTTAGGACCCCGAGGGTATGGAATGGGCTTCCATGCAAGGTGGTTGAAGCCCCATCAGTGAGGGTGTTTAAGGATAGGCTGAATGTACACATGGTGGACATGTCAAGAGCGGAGCCAGCTGGAGCCAGGAGTCAGCCTAGATAGTCCAGGAGGCCCCTTCTGACTCGCTCTGTTTCTATGATTAAGGAGCCAGTCATACCAATCGAGCTCCAAAAGGCTGCATTCTGACAGTGACCTGGAACACATGACACAATAGCCCATTGTGGCTTAATTTGTGGGCTGTCATGTAATGCTGAGTGCTCTTTTTACAAGGAATCCACAGGCATCCTTGCTTGCCATGGTTTGCTATGGCATGCAAATCTGGGACCATGGGTTGTTTGAATATGCAGTTCTGCTATTCCCCATTTCTGGAATTTCCCTAAGAAATTTGTATGGCACAGTCTTTCTTTTCAGAGCCAGGCAAAGACATACACAACAACAACTACTACTACTACTATTATTATTTCTGTGAATGCTGGTGGCCTTTATATTATTGTTATATTGATGTTTTAATAGGTTTCAATAGGTTTTTAATGATTTCAATAGGTTTTAATATGCTGTAAGCCACCTAGGAAGGCCTTTTGGCAGCTATAGGTGGCATAGAAATATGTGCATGAATAAATAAATAGTCTCTTGAATAACCATAACACAAATTATGGGCCATTTGTGGGTTGTCTGGGCCCTCCAACAAACCACTGGTGGTTAATTTAGTCCCAAGGGACCATCACAGAAAGCCACATGCCTGTGAGTGTTGTTTTTGCATGACATTCATGGGCACCCTGCTTACTGTTGCTTATCCTGTCATGAGACTCTCGGCAAGATGCTGTAGGGAGCAGGCTTGTTGGTGGTCAGTCCAGCTGGTGAGGATAACTAAGCCAATTTTGCCAGCACACACAGTGGGAAAAGTGAGCCCCAATGCGTTGCTTTCTCTGCCATGATGTGGGAATGCATCCATTGTGTGGGACCCCCTTTTCAGGGATGTCTCTGAAGCACCTTTTAACCATTAGAGTTGATTCCCGTATGTTTGCAGATATGTTTGCAAGATTACAGCTGAAAAGGGTGAGGAAAAAATGCCACAGATACAGTCCACTCACTTGCAGGAAAAGAGAACAGGTAAATAATGATGGCTAATAAGTCTGCAGAGAGAAAGGGGCAGATGAATACATTATTGGACTTATATAGAGACTGGTCCAAGGTAGATTTACTGCAATGGGGGGAAACCCCACACACAAGAATAAGATTTTTAAAAGGCTTGCTGGGTTTGACCAAGGATTTAACTAGTCAAGAATTCTGATTTCTAAAGTAGTCAAGTAGATGCTTTAGGATGATCACAAACAGGGCACAAAAAAAGAGTTCCATTCCATGTTCTTCCTGTTTGCAGTTTTTACTTCTTTGTAGGGAGTATCCCACTAATATGGGTGAATATGAGAACATGGGAGTGAACAGCTGATGACACAGCTACTGCACAGAGATGCAACAGCGTATCACTTTGGAATTG